TCATTTATGACAAAAAACAAATGTATAATAAACTATAATAAATAAAAAAAACTGACAATTGTCTATAGTAGTATGTCTAGTTTTTTTTTTTTACATACACATATATATAAGTGCATCTTATATATCTTTTAAATTCAATCGTTTTAATATAATACTTGATGATAACGTTGTTTTAAACTTTGAAACGGTCCAAAATACGGAAGTAGCGGAAGGCAACACTTGCTCCGCCCACTTCCGGCCTCAGACTGTTAGTCTGGCGCTGTTGTCCTCAGACTGTCATGACATATGGTTCTGCGGTTCTGCAGTTAGTCCTACCTCATACATGTAATGTCCAATACAGTTTTTCACGGTATATAGTAGGGGAATTTACCGTTAACCATTTAACAGGTTTTTACTGTAGCATTTTTACAGTCTTTTACCGTTAAATTCACGGTCATTTTTTACAGTGTACTTCACGTTACTTAACACCGTTTAGGAATAAGTAGTAGGCTATGTTTTAAACCCACTTTAACAAACATGCGAATGTTTTATCAAAGTTTGAAACGCATAAAACCAAAAAGGATGAAACCAGTGTTACACCTCACACGTTCAGCTTTTGATGTTTTACATTATATAATAATGGTTCTAAATGTATTATTTAGTATTTAAAGTCTCACCAAATGAACTTTAAATCACTTTCATTAGAAGCCACGCACACTTACCGTCTGTTCAATGGCGCGTCTTTCTTTTGCTTTTTATTCATCACAGCAGGGACGCAGTTCGTCAGCTCGGTCCAGTCCGCGTGCAAACCGCAACTCCAGCCCGTGGAGAAGCGCGAGAAGAGCCACGACTCCGCTTTACCGGGTCGGTGACACGTGCATTTCTTCTGGCCGGAGCGGCAGTCGCACGGGCGCTCCAGGTGGATGTTGCGCACCAGGTGCCTCCCGAACGTCGTTCCTCCGGTCTTCTGGATGTGGAGGAACACGATCACGTCGTTCCCCTTGATGTCGAAATCCACGTGGCGATAGAGGTCCTCGCGCGTGAAGTTGAATTTAGACGGGAATTTGAACGGAGCGTCCTCGTCCGGAGCCGGAGACTCTCTCTTGACGTCTTCTGCATATTTGGAGAACGGAGAACTCTCTCCATTACCAAACCGACAAGACGTGCTCCCCGCTGGACAGATGTACTGATAGCCGATCGTGACAAATAAAACGGTCAAAACAGGAACTAAAAGGAGTTTGTTGGATTTATCATCCATTGCAAAGACAATGAAGCGGTCGATCACGCCATTGCTGATGCTGTAGCCGCTGATAGAGTCCTCCAGGTGCTTTCCACGGATGATGCTCGCAGACGAACGCGCCTTCAGTTAGAGCATAGTTACATAAAGGGGTCAGTTGGACCGTCAAATCGTGGACAGAAAGGAAAAACAAGCCTTGCGTTTCCACATTGTACTAAACTTGGAAATGACGCTTTACAAGCAGCTTCATAAACTGTCAGATAAAACGTAGCACGTCTCTGAACACCCATTTGCAGTGCAGATCGTCTGAGTGTTTAATGTCAATTTTAGCTTTCCTCGTCCGATAGATTGTAACGTGAGATCCGGTCCCATTGTAAACCACATCCAGAGATCCGCTCCGTCGCGCCGGGCTTCAGCGCTGATTGCACCGCTTTGTGATGCAGGTTTCCGAGGTTAGCTTTAAGAAGTTGAGTTCCTGTTGCAACTTGCTCATCGTGTGAGGAGAGAGAGAGAGAGAGAGAGACAGAGAGAGAGAGTCTCTAGCAGTCATTGGGTCTTGCTGGGGGAAGGGTGACCCTTAGGACTTCTTATAGGCTATCAAAGAAACTTTGACATAATCTTCACATACTTGTTATAGTTGGGACATTCTAAGAAAAAAACTTTTCTTCTCCACATTACAAAAACGTACGGTATATCAAATATTAGTTATAAGAGCATTCCTTAAACATTGATTCCTGACATTTACGTAACCTTTAAAAAACATTATGGGAACGTTCCCTGTTAGCTGAGATGATGGTGAGTAAATAAATGACACAATTTTAATTTTTGGGTGAACTGTTCCTTTAAGAGGTACTAGAGATTTTGAGATATTCCACTGTATGTGGGTCATTTTTTGGATCTCTGGGCTTCTCTCCCATTCTCTGACAGCTTGAGAAGGATCATACACTGTTGCTGAGGAGGAGTGATAGAGCGCTGTCACAGGCTGTTTGCCCGCTCTGGTAATGCGCCATGATGCTCTCCGCTCTGCTGTGATTTTTATGGTGCTGTCAGCCAAGTGCAATGAGGAACGGTTCACCAAAGATCACTGAGTCAGCGTCTCTCGCCATTACAGATATACAGCACTGAGAGGGCGGGATTGAGATTCTGCAAAAAATTAAATGGCTCTACAGTGCTGTCTTACAGGGCTTGGAGGTGGAGAGCATGCATACCTGCTAATAAAAAAATGAAAAAAAAGTGACGTGACATGTGGCCAAGTATGGTGACCCATACTTGGAATTAGTGCTCTGCATTTATCCCATCCAAAGTGCACACACACAGCCACGACTTCCCCCTGAAGAATGTCTTTCTGGAAATCATAATTTATGGTTTCAAAGCTAAGTATGAGCAATAGTAATAGTGATGTCTTATCGAGCACCACTATAAGTTACAGTATTTTTTTCACATGGATCACAGGAATACTTGATTTTGATACAATACCAGTCAAAAGTTTTTGATAGATGTTCACCAAGGCTGCATTCTTTAAATCAAACTTACAGTTAAAACTGTAATATTGTGAAATATTATTACTATTTAAAATAACTGTTTTCAATTCTAGTATATTTTAATATATTCAATGTGATGCAAGGTCTTCAGTGTCATGTGATCCTTCAGAAATCATTCTAATATGCTGTTTTGTTTACTTCAGAAACATTTCTTATTATCAGTGTTGAAAACAGTTGTGCTTCTTAATAATTATTTGAAATAGACATTTCTTTAACAATATACTGTCACGTTTAATCAGTTTAATGCATCCTTAATTGCGACCCCAAACTTTTTAACGGTATAATATTTTCTCCAATTAACCCTTTCCATGCTGTAGTGGACCATTTCGTTCTTATTGGGAGCTTTAAAATAATATAGAGGTAAAATGATAAAAAATCAATATTTCATGTCTCCATCATCTTAAAATGTCTCACTCGATGTGTCGACTTTTTAAACTCGCTTCAAATATATTTCAACAATTGTTTCAGTGAACAAATAGCTGTAATAACCTTCTGCATCACCTGATGAAACCATTTCACAAGATTTCTATAGAAAAGCAAGATTTCTATACAAAACCATTTCACAAGATTTCTATAGAAAACTTATCACGTTATTAAAATGCTTGGCATTAGAACGGTTTTGTTCAAATAAAAATTCCTAATCGTTTTTACTTTATTCATATGCTTGGGTGGTTATTTGGCACAATGGTAGATTTTAGCTTGAGATGAAGTGAGGAAAAAAGATCAAAAATACAATAAATACACGCTGCACACGATTTGAACAACATGGTTGTTTGAAACTGGATGAAGGTCTCCTGCAGAAGAACTTTGCTGTGACAGAGACAGCTCTAATATGATGACTGATAGCTGTGTGTGAGCTTGACAAAGAGCAGTGCTGCCTTCAGGTCTGTGCTGCAGATCCAATAAACTAACCTGTGTTGTATAAGGCTGCTTTTATATTTATTTATTTTTCAGATTTAATAGAACTCTAAAGTGTTGACTAAACTAAAATTGTTTTCAGAGAAAATAACCACAGGTCCAAAAATGAACTCCCCATAAAATACAGTAAAATCTATGGAAGCCTGTTTCCACCACAGAATTTAAAATTGTGACTTTGTATCCCACAATTCAGACTTTCTTAGGAAAAAGTCAGAATTGCAAGATATAAACAGAATTATGATATACTTGCAATTCTGAGAAAGAAAGAAAAAAAAATTCACAGTTCTGAGTTTTCATCATGAGTTTACATCTCGCAAATGTTTTTTTTTCTGCCACAGAATGAAAACTAAAGAAGGCAATTGTCATTTTTCTCACAATTGGGAGTTTATATCTTACAATTCAGACTTTTTTCACAGAATTACAAGTCCTGTCATGACAACTCTCGGAGGGATTGGCATGGTAATGTACAAGACAATGTTAATGTACTTGGTCTTGGCGGAATAGATCTGCTACGCTGCTGGTGCGGCAGAGCAAGTACTTATACTTCTGTGAGCATGTAAGAAATATTGCTGCTGCAAATATAACATACATGAAATAACCCCCATATAGCATACATGAATCACCTCGTAGCAGATCTATACAGGTGGAGCTGGGGAAGGTGGAAGGTTTCTGAAGCAAGCTGCAACTGCTACTGCAAGCACTAATCATATATTTGAATGTTGAGCAGCGAGCTCATTGGCTACCGATACAGGAGAGAACCAATCAGCTGTGCCATGTGATAATGATGTCATTAGGTCAGATTGAGTTAGACCTATCGGACTGCGCCATCTAGAGTTTCATGCCAAAACTCTGTATGTAACATCTTGAAATTCAGATTTTTTTTAAATAGTTGAAACTGTTTTAAGTAGTGAGTTAAAAAAATTTTTTTATAAAAGTATAGAAAAAAAGGTAGTTGTGACATTTTATTTCACAGTTTGGTCTTCTTTCCTCACAGTTTCCTTACAGTTCAGACTTCTCTTATCATAATTTTGAGTTAATAAAAAAATAAAAACTTTTTTTTCTATAAAAGAAGAAAAAGGTTTAAATTGTGAAATAAAAAGTCAAAAAAGCAGTTACCGTTTTAAATTTTTTATTTCATGGTGGAAACAGGCTTCCATTAAAAACAGAACTCACATTCTATATACATCTGAACATTTGGTTGAATTAAATCCTGAGCACTACAGGCTAATTCTGAGTAGGAACTTGGCACGAGGCCCCAGTCGCATGGGTTTGTCCCTAGCTTTGCTCTGTTCTCTCTCAGCCTTCTGTGCCACCCTCCAGCCTCGCAGAACTTAGCTTTCCGCCAGCGCTGGCCTGGTTGCATGCCAGCTCCATCCCCTCTAGAGGGCTTGGCATGGCATTCAAGCTCCCTCACCCAGCATGCTGAACTACGGTGGCACTGAGCCGGATCTCAGTCGGGCAAGAGTTCAGTGTCCTGGCCTGAACATAATCAAGTGTTGTTACTAGGATGCTACCCTGCAGAGAGCATTTGGATATGAGACGACCAAAGACAACATGGCAACAAATACATTTCAAATACATTTTTTCTAAGAAAAAAAAAGGATTTTGGCGTTTTAAATATATGAAACACTACTGCTGCAGTACAATAAGAGTTCACACAAATGTGTCTATGCCAATAATAAACACCTTAATTTTAATAAGAATGACAGCATAGTTTAACCCTGTAAAGCTGATCACATGAAATATGTGAATATAAAAGATCATATTTTTTAAATGGAACAGTTTATTGAAACTTTAGATGAAAAGCATGCAATTTGGTGCAGTTGTTGATATTTGTATGGTCAAAAGTTAAGATAAAATTCTGATTGTTGATTCTGTTTATAATGTAAATCAAAGAGATCTACAGTGATGCTTGAGAGATTAACAAATAAACATTTCATAAAAACAGAAATCCTTTGTAACAATACACTACCAAAAATTACAAAATTTTACTAAAGGGTCATTAATATAAGAAATTAATATTTTTATTCAGCAAAGATGTGTTAAATTGATTAAAAGTGACAATAAAGTCTTTTATTGTAAGGAAAATTTATATTTTGAATAAATGCTGTTCATTCGAATTTTTTTATTCATAAAAGAATCATGAAAAAGTATGAAAGGTTCCAATAAATGTTAAGGAGTGCAACTGTTTCCAACATTGATAATAAAAATGACATATCAGAATGATTTCTTAAGGATCGTGTGACACTGAAGACTGGAGTAATGGCTGATGAAAATTCAGCTTTGCATCACAGAAATAAATTATATTTTAAAGTATATTAAAATAGACAACCATTATTTTAAATTTTACAAATATTTTACAATATTACTGTTTTTTCTGAATTCTTGATCAAATAAATGCAGCCTAGATGAGCAAAAAAGTGACTTTAAAAAAAAGTAATAATAATAAAAATAAAAAACGTACTCATCCGAAAATTCAATTTTACTGAATTTTGCTCCAATCCAGCAATGTGCAGCAGTTCTGTATCTAGTCTATCCATCATCGTTATGGTCTTCAGTATGACACATATTTTTGTAAGGTATCTGCAGTTTTGCAACCACACCTTGCTTTAGGCTTGGCTGCACACTGCATCATTATCATGGCTTTGGAGTTTGAACTGAACAGGAAGCCACACACCATGAGCTCCAAGCCTGAGAGGATCAAGTTTTTAGCGAATGACATGCCTTACACATGCTTGTGCTATATTTGATGCAGTATACGATTGCTGGAGTGCAGAGCATAAGTGTCGTAAGTGCACTCTCTATCCTCTTGAGTCTATCTTAATAACACTGATGGCATTTTTGCCCTCCCCTTTGGATCTAAAGCAGACGGGTTGTTATGGGATTGCCTGCAAAAGATTTTTAGGCTTGTGGGAAGCTTATTAGCATGAGGAGTTTCTGAAGAAATAATAAATGATTATGTGACATC